TCCATGTAAGTTACTGTCATTGATTCATTGTAGGGGTTTGGGAAGGATAGGACAGAAGTCCACAGCCTCTTCCACAGAACAGAACAGCTCTGATTGCCTTGTTTCACTCATTCTTACCTGGATTTTTCTAATGCTCAAGGCTCCCTGTTTCCATGTTCAGACCTCTTCCCCACTGCTCCAATTCCTCCATCATTTCTTTCATTACATCCAAGTCTCCCTCATAGCCCTACTGCTTTGAAGCTCCCCTACCATCTTGTCACTCCATGTCCAGAATAAATTTGGAGGGGCTATGGCAAGGTGGCAAGATGTAGGCACTGTGGGAAGTGCAGTTCAGGAAGGTCAGAGAAGTGTGAAGTGACCAATTCATCTCAAAGAGATGTTTCAGCTGAATGAGACCATTTCATGGCTCTGGAAAAACAGCTTGGAGAGGTGTGAATTGCTCAGTTTATCTCAGTGAGCATTCCTGTTCCTTCTTCCTAGTGCCAACGTTTGTTGATTCTGTACACTGCAGCCTGCCCAGTCTCAGGTCCTTACTGAGCAGCAGGGCTTCCCAATATGCACAGTTGGTAGGGGAGGTCATACCATAGGGACAGCATCTCCTCAGATACCAGCTTCTGGAGGACAGGAAGAGAAGTTGAACACATTTTAGAGCACACATCCCGCCAGATTACAGTGTGAATGCATGGGGCACAGGAGAAGTTGCTCAGACTCCTTCCCCTAACTCCTGGTTATCTGCACAGGAGAAGAGAAGGTGGGATTGGCTGGCCTTTCCAACCCATATTCCTTCCTCATGTTTCCCTTCTTAGTGACTAACACCTTTCTCTACCATGAATCTTCATTTGCTTACTAATCTGCCACAGCCCAATTATACTCTTCCACTCTCTACATATCACCAAACCTTTCATCCTCAGGCCTTCACTCTCTCATATACATTCTTCATCAGTGCTCTGAGCCTTTGTTTTGTACCTGTGCCCCAAAGAAGTTATAACACTAAAAATGTTATGAGCACTTCATGTTAGAGGAGTAGTATATCAGCAATACCTTCATCTTAAGCACAGTCAGCTTCACAGTTAAGGAATACATGTCATTTTCTTATCTTTCTTAATCAGTGTCACCTAATTAGTGCTTATCCCTGTTGAAATAATATCTGGTAGCAATGTGCTTAACAGCTATTCTCACATATCTCTACAGTGTAATTTACTTTCTCAGAACCTACTTAGAGGCCTTTCTAACTTAGCAGTAGAAATTAGCTGGGCATGTTTCCCAAAAGGTTTAAAAAAACAAAACCAAACCTCAACCAAGGCATAAGCATTATTATTTTCTCAGATTTATATCATGGTAATGCTCAGATCTATAGTTCATGATTGCAGCTCAGGTTCAGTGAGCTTTACACGTACCCTTGAGTCGCCAAATGTTTGTGACCATGGCTGAATCGTAAACCCTGTTATTTAGGATTGCTGCATACTGACTTTCTAGTCTCTTCAGAGCATGAAGAGCATGTAGTTTTTTTGGAGAGCCAGACTTTTCCTTTAATGTTTTTTGTATTTTTACAGAGTGCCCTCTAAGGGGGTTCCTTCCCTGGAGGCTTCTTTGGTCTGAGAGAGTCCTCTGAAGCCAGCTTAAGTTTGTCTGCTAGAGTAAGGGAGAGGCCAGGCTCTTTCTCACTCTGAGACCTCAGCCTTTCAGGTGGTTGTACATGTGATAGGGGTTTAATCCTCAGGGTTTTATTCTCTTGCCCCTAAATTGAATCAGTGGGAGATAGAATAAAACCCTGAGGACTAAACGATTTCAGTTTATCTTTTCTGTCATTGTCATGTTATGGTGAGGGGCCCTATTTTTTTTCAGAGCCAGAGCCTGCCCACAGCTGGGAGGGAGAGGGGGGTGGTGTGAGCTGCCGGTGGGCTGAGTGGCCCCTGAGCTGTTGGGGGCCCTGGTCCTGCCCTCTGCAGCACCCAGCCAGGTGGGCTACTAGTGGGCTGGGTGCTGCCTGAGTTGGTAGGCACCTGATCCAACCCCCGCCACTGCCTACCCAGGCTTCAAGCACCTTGCATGCTATCCCCACTGGCTTCTTGCACCCCCAGCCACCCTCCTGTCACACCCCTGTGCTGCCCCTGGGGCAAGCCAGCCTGTTCTGGGGTGGCCCCAGGAGTCCAGCTGGCTGCAGCAAACTGCTATAAGCAGGAGTGAGGGGCCCAATCCTGCTTTTGGCAGAGCCTGCCCTGCCTGCAGCCTGGGGCTGAGCTGCTGATCAGTCAAGCAGCCCCTGAGCTTTAGAGGGCCCTGGTCCTTCCCTCCACAGTGGCGGCAGCCCCCAGGGCTACTTGGCTGGGCTGCTAGCAGGCCAGGCACTGCCCCAGCTTGGAGGCAGCACCTACCTAATCCAATTCTTCCCCAGTCCCACCTAGGGAGCAGCTCCTGATGGCTTCCAGTGGGTGGACTTGGGGAATATTTGGATCTAGCCAGGTTGTACCTCTGAGCTGAGGCAGCACCCAGCACGCTAGCAGCCTGCTGGGCAGCCCCAGCAGGCGCTGCCACTGCAGAGGGTAGGATTGGGGCCCCCGGCAGGCCAGGGGCTGCTCAGCTCACCGGCAGCTCACCCCCTGGCTGCAGGCAGGCACTGCTGGGGGAAAAAAAAAAGATTGGGTCCCTCCCTACTTCTGCCTTCATCAAGTGCCTGCTGAAGGTAGAAGTGGCGAGGGGCCTGATCCTTTTTCCGCAGAGTCTGCCCACCTCTCCCATGGCCAGGGGACAAGCTGCCAGTGGGTTGAGTCCTTCCCTCTGAGGTCCTTCCCTCTTCCAGGTGGGCCGAGTACTTCCCACTGAGGTCCTTCCCTCTGCAGTACCAGTGCCCCCAGTACGGCCCAGGCAGGCAGCTGGCAGGTGAGGTGCTGCCCTAACTCAGGATCAGGGAAGAGTTGGATTAGGCTGGGGGCTGCCTCCGAGCTGAGGCAGCACCTGGCTTGCTAGCAGCCTTCCCAGGTGGCACCAGGGGGTGCTGCCATTGCAGAGGGAAGGGCTGGGGCCCCCCCACAGCTCAGGGCCCACTCAGCCTGCCAGCGGCTTGTCCCCTGGCCATGGGAGAGGTGGGCAGGCTCTGCCAGGAAAAAAAAAAAAAAAAGGAATCAGGCCCCTCACCACTTCTGCCTTCAGCAGGCGTTTAGTTTGCAATGATGCAGTCATTTAAAACTCCCAAAAGTCTTGCACGTGTACACTGGGTTGCTGTTAAGCTACACAAAGTGACATTTTTGTCATACGTACATGTTAAGGGTGTCACATGTATGAGTGCCCTCAGTGTCTCACTTTACCTGACTCTCCATGACCCATCCAGTTCTGCTCTAAGAGAGGGGCTTTGTCTCTTTTTATGGAGACCAAGGACAACCCAAAGTCTAAATAGCACAGTAGACAGACTCTCTGCTCCCTCCAAAGAGTCAAGTCATTCATCTGTCCCCGGTCCAGCCCATACAACCCGTAAAGGTATTTAGCTGTTCCCTATTCAGTATTTACAAATTCTCAGTCCCAAAACTCCACAGCTGCTCAGTTGTCTTAGTCTCCAAACTCTTTCCCAGAGTTTTCTAGGAGCTTGCTTGTTCAGCCTACTCTCCCATGGTTACATTTATCTCAGTCTCCTCTGGCCATCTCACCTTTGTCAATGTTACCAGAGATATGTCACCATAGTCGAGACTGTTGTTGCTAAAGATTCATCTGGTCTTGCTCTGCACTAGCCAGATATGGTGCTTCACTATTTGTTTAACTTATTCTTTTCCCATACACCAGCTATATGGGGAAATTAAGGCATGCAACATTATGAGAACATAAACACAATTAACATGAGAATCTTATGTTCCAAATGAATCACCATGAGAATCTTAGCTGATGTTCCAATCAGAAGAGCCAGAGGGGTTGCATCTGGAAACCACTCTGCCAAAAAATACCAGATTTGGACCTTTAACTGTCTCTTTGACCCTAAGGCAGTGGTTCTTAACTGGGGAGCTGTGGCATGATGCCTTGAGAATCTGTGGGAGGTGCCTCAATGCTTGCACTGCTGCTGTCGGGAAAAGCTGGCTGGCACATCTTGACTTTCAGAAGGTATATCAGAGCCGAACCAGGAAGAGCCAAGAAGTGGCACATCTGCCTGCAGCCAGGCACACCTTTCTGCTAAAGCTGCTTTTCAGTTTGGCTCCAATATGCCCCCTGAAAACTAATGTGTGAGGTGCAGTTTAACCTTGTGGTGGCGGTGGCAACTGTGACAGCACTGCTGCCTCCACTCCCCTGGGCCTTGTGCATCCTTTTGCCCACTTCCCATCCCCTCAGCACTCCCCAGGTGCTTTAGGTGCATCCTGGTACCTCATTTCTGCCAGCCAGGCATACCTGGACTCTTTGTTAGAGGCCCAGGGCTAGAGTTCAGGGCAGATTGCCCTAGGGAACTAAGAGAAGAACTTGCTCCAGTGGTTCCTGATCCTCACAAATGACCTTGAGCCATGGGTAGGGAGTTCACTGCTGCACAAGGATCAAATGCATGCTGAACCAGGCAGAGCTAGGGGAGGCTCTCTGTCAGTGTCCTGAAGGGGTGATTAGAATATAAGTACACAATCAAATAACATATTAATTAATATCAGAATTATAATGTTTATACTATAATAGTCATGTTAGGTTTTTAAATGGGGCACTGCAAAATTCTGAAAAGTTTGAGAGTTTGTTGAGTCTAAAAAAGGTTGAGAGCCTCTGCCATAAAGAACAGTGAATTTCAAATGTGCAGATTTTAGAGCACTCTTAGGAGTTGTTGTTTTTTTTTTTAAACAGAACGTGACTCTCAACCTTAGGTGTAGCAGAGCTGGTGTACTGCTGCACTGAGGAAGCTGGGGAAAGACTCCTGTTGACTCCGATTTGGGATCATGCCTTAAAATTACAACTGAAATTAACTTTATAACATGGGATACTGACTTAAAATCTCTCTCCTTCCCTCCCTTCTCTCTCTCCCTCCCTTCTCTCTCGTATTAAAGCTTCAGAATCCTCAAGCAGACCAAACCTAGGACCTCTGATGCTGGCCATGATAGTTGCTATCCCAGTTTGTATCTTGTCTCTAGCTGTAATGCTGACTATATGTATACGTCAAGGTCGCTACTGTGCATACAGAAAGAAAAAGCGACAAAATATTGAAGAGCCCCTATCTGAATGTAACCTTGTAAACTCTGGAAAAACTCTTAAAGATCTTATTTATGATATGACAACATCTGGGTCTGGATCTGGTATGTATGCAATGCTAAACAGAATAAAATATATATGTTTGTTAGTAAATGGGTAAAAGAACAAAATCACAATACTATCCATTCCATTTTCTCCATCCAGTATAGACAAAAATATGCTGTTAAAAGTTTTCTGCTGATAAGTACAACAGTTTGTTTTTGTACAAGTATTTTCACCACTTAGAATGGTAAGTACTAGTAGAATCTATCTACTAGTAAAGAGGCATATATTCCATTATGCCCACAGTACAACTGCATGAAATGTATTGCCCTATGGATACAACAGTAGGTCAGCTTGTCACTGTTAATTATTAATAAAACAGGGTCATAATGGCTAAGTACAGACATTTGGAGAGGTTAAATTGGGTTCAAAATGGCCACCCAATTTAAAGTTAGCTCATCCTGGTGCTGACCTTATACTTACAGACCCGTCTTAGTGATGGCAGTCAGTCTAGACCTGTAACTGTACAGAAGTTCCAGGCACAAAAATCAGTCTAAAAATTGCAGAAGCTGGTTTAAGATAAACGTGGATCTGTGTACTATCAAACTTACTCAATTTAGGTCAGACTGTTGCGTGGAACTTCCCCGTGCAGCACCAGGGCTGGGAAAACCCAGCCACTGCTGCAGTCCCGGGGCTGTTCTTTTCACAACCCCCCTGTGGGTCATGCCTGCCTCCCCACCCTACTTGTGGGTTATGCTTGCCCCCCCCACACTTGCAAGTCACTTCTGCCCCCCACCCCTCATGGATCACACCGCCCCCCACATCCCCCAGTTAGCCCTCCCATCCTGACTTACCTCATATCAGGCAACCATTTTGAATCGATTTAACTTCCCCCTAGTGCCCCCAAATGTCTGTACCTAGCCCTTAAGAGATGGCCAGATGTTTTTGTTGGAACAGTTTTCTTTCAAAATCAAAATATTTTAGAGGAAATTTCAATGTTAATGAAGTTTATCAAATACAAAAAGTTAAAATGTTTAATTTTTGATACTTTCAAAACATTTAGACTTTTTATGGTAACTTTCTAATCTTAGCATATTCAAATGTTGATAGAATAAATGAAAAATGTTGTAATGAATATGTAATGTTTCAATATAAAGTCTAAATAAAAAAAAGTCAAAATGACATTCCCAAATAATGAGGGTTGTTATCACCTGTGAAATGCAGAGTTTAGTGAGTATCAGGTAAGTTATAATGGACCATGACATCATTGTCTATGCTAAATTGTCCGTGCCTTAATATAGTGTTTAACATAGATGCTTGTCCATAACTTCTGCATTTCACAGGTGATAATGACCTTCCAGAATAATCTTGTTCCTCCTTTATCAGATATATACTTTATATCATCTGCCCGTTGGCTACTTGATAATTTCTCATATCTTTTTTTTTTGGTTTTTTTTTTTGGTTTACGTATGGAGTTTTACACAACTTTTTGTTCCATCTGCTATTCAGCTCTGCTCTGTCTGCTTCTCTCCCAGAAGCCTGAGACAGTATACTGTGCTACCTGAAAGCTTG